GGCCAGAGCCTGGGACTTCAAGGTCGCCAGGCCCATGACCGTTAATCCCTCCCCCTCCTCGCGGAGTTCGTGCACCCTCCAATAGAGGGTGCACCGCTCCTGTACGAGAAGCTCCACGGGGGGGAGCTGGCCAGAGTAGTCGGCGCCATGTAGGAGACAGTGCGGATCCTCCGCACTGTTCGGAACCTCCGAATCGTCTTCACTACCACCGGCCGCATCGCCTGGAGCATAATGCTGATGCTGCGGCCGGAAACCAAGAGCTGGGGCGCCCATATGGGGCCCATATGGCGCCCATTGAGGGCAATTGAGAGGACCACATCCACATACAGGCGGCGAGCCCGCCATCCAGGTCCCCCTTGGGTCTGCATTAGTCTGGCGAGGGCCAGATCCGCGCCGCGGACCCGGGGTACTAGGCTCCTGAAAAGCACTTAAACCCCGGGGCCTTTCGACCCCGGGGTTTATTTATGTGATTTGCACCGGATAAGAAGGGGCAACGGTGGAAGCCGGCATACATGGACAGCAAGTCTTAAAGGATAGCAACCTTTGTCTTTGAGAGACCATCAGCTTGTACCACTAGGTACAAATAACAATGCCTCTCTCTGTAGTCGCCGTGCGCTCGGGATAGCACTAGAGATGTCGCTTCCGAGCGACATCTCTTAACATTATTTAAGGAGGGGAGAGTGTCGTGAGCATGGAGTGTCGGGTAGCTCAGTGGTTTAGAGCAGTCTCCCGGCAAGCGAAAGACCCGGGTTCGATTCCCGGTTTAGCGACTACCGCGCTAGATATTTTTCTCTCTTCGGGACGAAAATAAGATGCAGGTCCCGAACGTACGGCGTCCCGTCGCACAGTGGATCGAAATATAAGAAAAAGCGGACATTGTGCTGTTGTGGAAACGAAATGCGACAGCAAAAGCGAAATAATTAGTAACATATAATTGTAAAGTATATACATTATTATTATTATTATTATTATTATATTATCATTATATACATTATTATATTATACATTATTATTTTGCGATCTTATTTCATGAAAACAAAAATTTTCCGAAAACTTACACTACACGGAAAAAAATTTAGTTGAATTAACCAATTGACTGGCCGAATGTGAACGACCCAGGAATTCTGCTTAAGGTAACCAGAACTCTGTTTAAGTTAACAACGTTTCTGATTAACAGTTGAAAGTAGTGGTTAACCAGAAATCTTGTTAATTTAAACAGAGTTCTGGTTGCTTCGACCGAAATTTCTGGATCGTTCGTATCCGACCAGTCATTCGGTTGATCCAACACAATATTTTTTTCCGTGTACAAAATACTAAATATAAGCAATATTAATAGAACATTTCCGAGAAAAATATCTTACACAAGTGATTTTTTACGTAACGAAGTTAAATATAATGAGGGAAAGATCTGTAAATTCAACAAATATTCACACATGCTTTATAACTAAAAAATTAATGTTTAAACTGAAACTTATTGCTTAATTTTTATTATATTTCAGATGGAATATGTAAAAAGAAAATGTTTTATGCTTCTCTATAAATTATACACAAATTGTGATATAAAAAGAACATAATTCTGAAGCTAATTACAATTTTTGAGTAACACTCTACAGAAAAACCTTCATCTATCTTGCAAAGTTGCACCTAGTTGCAGCTACAATATTTATTTATCACGTGAATTACTTTTGAAATAAGTTAAAAACAGTTAGAACTTAGACAATGTTAGACATTTTTGTTTACACTAACTAGAAGTTGCGGAAACGATTTCTTATTCATTATTTCTTAGGAAGCTTGTAGATAATACAAAAATACGAAACAAGTCTGTATAATCAGAATTTTTTAAACTTAAAAGATGTGCGAATTATCGAAAAAAGATCATATTTTAATCTGTTGACTTTTGTAAAAGATATCGATATAGAAAATTGTACGGTAAAGGATGTTGGGAAATGATATTGTACGAAGCTCAACTTCTAATATAAATTTTATTTGAAATTTGAAAAGATTTCCACAAAACTCAATTAGTTTCGCATTTTATGATTCATTTACTGATAATAAGTGCAAAGAAAAGTCAAAATTGCATTAAATTATTTTTAAGCCGCTTTTTTATATACACTCAAACGCAAAAAACCCGGTACACTAAAAATTTGGGAAAAAATTACAAAATTTCAAATGATCATAACTTGGTAAATAATGAAGATACAAATATGCGCAGAAATGCAAAATGAAGCTTGAAACGTCCTCTTTAAGAATATCTGAATGGCAATTATGCTCGGCCATTTTTTTCAAAATGGCGGATGATAAAGTGAGAGGATGCAAAATTGATAATCAAAGGTCCGTGTTTGCGATGGTGCATGGTGTGCATCAGGTATCGCAGCGTAATGGGACCAAATGCACATGAAAGTATAGAGTGTTATCTTTAAAATGCTACTTTACCGAGCTCGATGTGATCATTTTTCACTGAGTTGTTCCAAATTTTGCTAAAAATGCGGTTTTCTTGTTAAATTTGCATAATTCAGTGAATAAATATCAAGCTCTATAACGAAGCATTTTAAAGAAAACATTCTATACTTTTAGGTACTTTTCGTCCCATTGAGCTGCGACACTTACTTTGCTCCATGCGCCGTCGCACGCTCGAACCTTTTTTTAGCAACTTTTCATGTTCTCCTTTTTATCACCCGCAATTTTGAAAAAATATCGTTGCGCACAATTTCGATAGATCTTTCGAAAAGTACGGTTTCAAAGCTTTCAAACCGTTTTTGAAATTTGCTGCTAGGATATTTAGGTGTCGAGATATTCAATTTCGAATTTGCAACAAATGTCGATTCAGCGAGGCTTAAGGGGCTAAGAGGCTCTGCGGTTCGTTTGGCTCTTTCATAATTTCAATAGCTGTGTTCATGTTTCTCTATATAATAATTTACATAACCTGCACAATATATTCAATGATTTGCATTTATTATTTTGAAAGCCAGGGAAATGAAAGTAAAATTAAATTTAGGTTCTTCATTTTGCGTAATCGATATTACATAATAAAGATGAATTGCGTTTTAAGATACCGCTGTCATTAGCTCAAATTATGGTTGTAAGTCTTTCCAATATAAACCGCATGAAGTTTTACTGGTAGGAAGTCCCATTGTATGTAGTGTGTGTGTGTGTGTGTTTGTACACCACAAGGATAAGGACCCCGCGGTTCGTCAGCTCCATAGTATTTCAAGATTTCACACCCTCCTTGTGGTGTGTGTGTGTGTATGTGTGTGGTGTTACAGCAGAGATAAGGACCCCGCAGTTCGTCACTCCTGCAGTAATTAATAGAAACATTAAAATGTCCGCTTTTAGAAAGATTGCCACGATAAATCGTAGCAATATTGTACTGTAACGAATATGTCATAATGCAATGTTACTGCAACCATCGAATAATATTGTATATAAGAATATTTTCGTTTCTGAATAAATGAACATCAAAAACATATGGAAACATTTATGTTCGCGAGTCCGCTTGAAAACATGAAAAATATTAAACGAAGTTTCAACGAATATTCTCGGATCTGTCCCGCATGATGATGTCTTGAGATATCAGGCAGTAGAAGACGCGATCAAGCGACACAATACCAAAATAAACAGCCGAAGCATTAGTCCAAACTTGTTCGCTCGTTCTATTGTAATTTGAACATTGTTGATCTCAGCGAAATAACAACACGGCTGAATATTCTAGAATTTCGACATCAAAGCTAGAGCCTAGATTGACACGAGATATTGGCGACGAGAGAGAGATGGGCTATATACAGGGTGCACGATTTATCTGAAGACATTGAAATATCTCGAGAACTATGCATTGGATAAAAAAAAGTGGTTAATGAAAGTTGTTAGTCTCGAAGGGGGACATCCAATGATATCAAACTCGACCTCCCACCCCACCCCCTGGGGGTGGGGCTTGGGGGCAACTTTGAAATCTTAAATGGAAACCCCCATTTTTTATTGCAGATACGGATTCTACGCCACAAAATACGTAAGTTTTGTCCGAAACTTTTTTTTGATTCGTGATAGATGGCGTTGGTAATGGGGGGGGACGTACCCCGTCCACGGAAAGGAGGGAGGCATGTCGGCCGTAGAGTGGGCGCTGGAGTGGCCTGCTGAAACCCGCTCTTTCTGGTCGGGTGCTGGTGCTGGTCCTTGGACCATTGGGGGGATTGCTGGTCCGGGTTACTCTTGACTACTGTTTGGCAGTTTGGTTGGAGGATACCTGTTTGACCGGTTAGTATCTAGGGGGGAAGGGGTGCGCAGACCCCAGTATTGAGGGCCATGGCATGTGTGCCACGGGAGTGACGGAGGGATTCGGACATTAAAGTGTGAGACTTCGGTCGTGCTGTTCCCGGATCCCTCTGTCATGAGCCACGTGGTCAGGCCGGGGGAGGTTTTAGTGGGTGCGAGTCCTACACCACCCTGCAGTTCTGCGTGGCTGCAGGGTGTGCGTAGGCATTTCTTCCTCTGTAACAAAAAAAAGATGGCGCTGTAATCGCAAAAAATTATATTTTCCGCAATTCTCCAGAAATGATCATTGGATTGAGAAATAAAAAATACTTGTTCAATATTTTTAAAGAACATAATAAAAGTTATTCCCCCTCCCCATCCTTTCAGGGTAGGGTGGGTGGTAATGTTCAAATCTCAAATGGGAACCTGAATCGAAGAGGGAACTGCTCGACGCGCCACTACTGTATGGCGAACTACGGCTTATTATAAAAGGCAGTGCAATGCGGTCAGAGCTCACTTTTCTTTCAGAATTAGAACTGAAAGCATCTTTAACAATTTCATTTTACTTGACTAGTTTTTATTACCTGCATATCTACCCTTCATTCTTTGAACAGAATTGCAAGTGGAAAATGAATTCTGCAACCGTAGAAGAAAAAATTGAAATGATTCTGATTTATGGTGAATGTAGGAGGAATGTTGACGATGCTGTTGCTTTGTATGCTGAGCGTTTTCTAGACAATGTTCGCTCACGTTCTTTTTTTTTACAAAGTTGTGACTGCCTTTATCTCGGATGGCAGCGTACAAACTAAAAAAAGAAAACGAAGAACAACTGTTACAGGAGAAGTTAATGAAATAGCTGTGCTAGCAGCTGTTCACCACAACCCACAGGTAAGCACTCGGCAATTACATCGCGATTTCGGAATTTCCGGAGATAGTATTCGCAGAATATTGCATCATCATAAGTATCACCCATATCACATTTCACTGCATTAAGAACTTCATGGCGATGATTTTCATAATCGAGTGGTGTTTTGTGAATGGGCACTTCAACAAATGCAAACGAACCCCAATTTCATTGCTAATGTACTATTTTCAGATGAGTCTACATTCACAAACCATGGTGGCGTTAATCGACATAACATGCATTACTGGAGTGTAGAAAATCCCCACTGGTTACGACAAGTTAAACATCAACGTCCTTAGTCGGTTAACGTTTGGTGTGGAATCATAGGGAACAGACTCATTGGTCCTTATTTTATTGAAGGTAATTTTAATGTAATCAAATATCGAAATTTCCTGGAACAGGAACTACCACCACTACTTGATGATGTTGCCTTGGACGTTCGACAAAGTATGTGGTTTCAGCATGACGGTTGCCCAGCGCCTTCTGCGGATGGTCGCCACCTTGTCGTGGTGCAGAAGCTTGATGGCCACAATGATCCAAGGGGATGGATTCGACTTGGAATCCCAGGATTCCAAGTTCGAGGGTGAACCGAGGAGAGTGGCTACTAAGAGCGACTAACACATGCTTCAAGATGGGCAGCTGCCTCTTGAAACAAAGGGACTAGAGGGCTGCTCTTGAGCGGCACGAAGGACCCTGCAGCGCGGGCGTTTGGGCTCGTTAGCTTCGCCTTTGGGAAGCAACCATACAAGGGAAGGACACCCATAAAAACCCGTGGCGATGAGGGCCCGTTTTCCAGACAACCCGACGAGAGGAAGGAAAACCCACTGCAAAAACCCGGGCTAGTGGGCTCGTCAGCCTTGAGCAACCTATTCTGGAAATTGGAAACTCCGTTATCAAACCCGGGCGAAGGCTTGAGAGCTTGACTTCGCGGGCAAGCAACCTAAGTGAAGGGGAGGAAGAACCCCAATACCAAACTCGGGCATCGGGCTCGTTAGTCTGGGAGGTTGCCAGACAATCCGACGAGGGGAAAGAAAACCCACTGTAAAAACCCGGGTTAGTGGGTTCGTTAGCCTCATGCAACCTATTCCGGAGATTGGCAACTCCGTTATCAAACCCGGGCGAGGGCTCCAGGGCTTGACTACGTGGGCAAGCAACCTATTACTAGGGGAGGAAGAACCCCAATACCAAACCCGGGTGTGCAGCTCGTTAGCCTGAAGGCATCTGCACCGGAGAGAAAACTCCGCACAAACCGGGCATTCGGGCTCGTGAGTCTGGCGGTCTGGACATCCGAAATGGAGAGAAAACTGCGATCAAACCGGGCGTTCGGGCTCGTGAGTCTGGCTGTCCAGACATCTGAACTAGAGGGAAGGAAGAACCCTGACTAATAAACCCGGGCGTGCGGCTCGTTAGCTAAGGCATCAGCACCGGAGAGAAAACTCCGCACAAACCGGGCGTTCGGGCTCGTGAGTCTGGCGGTCCAGACATCCGAAACGGAGAGAAAACTTCAAACCAAACCGGGCGTTCAGGCTCGCGAGTCTGGCTGTCCAAACACCTGAACTAGAGGGAAGGAAGAACCCTGACTAATAAACCCGGGCGATCGGCCTACGTGAGTCTATTTTTCCAAGACATCCGAACAAGAGGAAGGAAAACCCAATGTAAAAACCGAGGGATGGAAAACCCACGAAAACCCGGGTATCGGACTCGTTAGTTTGGGAGGTTGCCAAACAACCCGACGAGGGGAAGGACACCCACTGTAAAAACCCGGGCTAGTGGGCTCGTTAGCCTTGTGCAACCTATTCCGGAGATTGGAAACTCCGATATCAAATCCGGGCGAGAGCTCGAGAGCTTGACTTCGTGGGCAAGCAATCTATTATTAGGGGAGAAAGAACCCCAATGCTAAATCCGGGCAATCGGGCTCGTTACGCTGATGAAGACAGCTAACCGAACCAGGGGAAGGAAACCCAACGTAAAAACCCGGGCCTGTGGGCTCGACAGCCTTCGGGCAACCACAACACAGAATAAATCTGACAATAACCGGGCGTTCGGGCTCGTGAGTCTGGCAGTCCAGGCAACCGATACTAAGGGAGGAAGAACCCCGAATAATAAACCAGGGCGATTGGGCCTGTTAGTCTGTTTAACAAACACCAAACGGGGGGAAGGAAAACCCAAAGAAAAAACCCGGGAGTTTGGGCTCGGTAACAGCATGGCAACCAAACCGGAGAGGAAAACTCCGATTAAAACCGGTCGGGCGTTTGGACTCGTTAGTTCCGGGACGGTGTTTAGGACTCGCCAAGCCTCGGGGCGACCTAACCGGAGAGGAAACTTCGTGAACAAACCGTCGGTGCTCGTCGGTCGGGTGCTCGGACTCGTGAGACTGGTTTCCCAGTCCACCGAGGAGGAAGGAAGAACCTCAAAGAACAAACCCGGGGAGGCGGCCTCGTTAGTCTAGTGAGACAGCCGAGCGTACGAAGTCCACAAGGCAGAGTTCATGTGGTGTAATTCCTCTACATGAGCGCTGCCGAATGGCAACACCCGGTGGAGCGCGTGGCGGACCCCGCGGGTCCCGGTTCTGTCGTCGGTGGGGGTCTTTTGGGTGCCAGGGGGCGGAGGATAATCGGCAACGGTGGGCTTGCACTCACTGATCCGTTAGGCCGAAGTCCCGCGGCGCCTGGGGGCTCGCTCGGCGGCGGGGGCGGGGGTGCTCTCGGGTGAGGGAGACGGGGGGGCTCCTCCTGGGTGTAGGATGGCTAGCCATCCAGAATGAATGTGTGTGTGGGGGGTGGGGACTGGAGGGGGCTGGAGACGCCGCCTATCCTCGATGGGTTGGGGCTGTGACGGCGGTGGATGGGGCCACATTCGTCACAGTGCCGGAGAGGATAAGCGTGACGAATGAACCAGCTTAGGTCGCCTCTGAAGGGGGTTTTTTTGGGTACCGGGTGGGTATCCCTTGAGGAAACTTGGGGGATGCACTCATCGGTGTCCCAGTCTTACTCCCATAGAGAGGCGCTGGCCGGCTGTTACGGGTGTATGGATCGTGGAGGTATGCCATCGTTGGAGACGGTGCCGCTGCGTCGCGCCGCGTGGGCTGGGCGGGCGGGGGCTGGGTGGCCGACCCCAGGTCAGGCGGCCTGGCCCCTGCTAGCCCGGCGTGTGTGGGGCGGCAATGTAGCGCCGGTGACGGTGACGAAACCTCCTACATGCACTACTGCAGGGCTGAGAGACTCCCGCGGCTTGCGTCCACCGCGCCTCGACCGGCCCTAAAGGGTGCATGCGGACACACGATACTGCAACCGGAACCAGTTCGGCCAGCGCATGCCAAAAGTGGCATGACAATTATGGTGCCTGGATCGCGAGCGAGATGGATGAGGTCACCACTCACCATTCAGCATGCGACCAATGGCACAACACCCGGTGTCCGGGAAATCTGGAGCACACAGTCGGGGGTCATCCGTCCGAAATGGAGTACCCTGATGTTCGACGGCTGGAGATAGTCGGCAACGGGGAACCCGCAGGTGGCGGGCGACCTGATCCGTCAGGCAAAAGCCGCCGGGCATTAGGGCCCCTTTCGGAATGGATGGCCGACGATTGTGCCAGGTTACTGGGCATTGGGTGGGAGCTCCATCATCTCCCTAGGGGACTCGTCTCCCAAAAAACAAGGTATCCCGGAGCCTGTCCTTGTCAGGAAGAGGGACCCGAGGGGGAGGAAGCCCACCATCGGTCTGGGGGTGGGCTTCAGGGAGAAAAGGGAGGCGGAAGCAGCCAGGAAAAAACAGGAGAAAGAAAAGTGTCTGGAAAGGGAGATCGAGGACCTTCTTAACACCGGAATACTGAGGTCCCTGGCTAATAGAAGACCCATGCAGGAGGTGTACAAGGACGCAAGCTCCGTTACACTCCTGAGGGAAGCCTCCACGCCAGAATTGGCCTCGGAGGCAGGCCGTGCGCTCGGTGCATTGAGATTAGTGGCACGAAGGTCAAACACTCTCAAGGGGACCTTCGTGTCCCTCATGAACCAGGCGGTAGACTCCTCCGAGGCCATTCTACAAACACTGATGTTCAGGTTTGTGGCCATAGATGGTAGGACGGACCAACGGTCCAACTTGGAGGCCGAAATGAATGGGATGAGAGAGGAGAACAAGAGACTGAGAATAGAAAATAGAAGGCTGCTCGAAGAACAGAGCGCAGCCAAATTGTTCTCCTCCACTGCATCGGACCTACCATAATCCGGCACACACCACAAACGCCGGACGTACGCGGAAGCTGCGGGTGGCAGTTCCTCCTCGGATGCCGGAGCCGGAGAGATGCCGAAACGGAGGACGAGGGAGAAGAAGAAGAGGAAAGTGGTGAGGGCCCCAATCCTGGAGTCCTCATCCAACTCCTCCGCAGAAGGAAAAGAGGATAGGGAAATTGCCGTGTATAACGACAACCTGGACCTCTTCAAACGGGAGGAGGCCACTGCCCCGGTGGCGGCTAAAAGACCCCCAATACAAGGGATTCAAAAGGACCTGGATGATTCCCTTGGGCTCCTACATATGGAGCCGGAGGCCAGAGAGAGGTACGAGCAGTTGTCGCAGGAGCTGCTACGGCTGGTGGATGTCAGGGATGGCCTGGACCCGCAGGGAGAGAGGTACAGGGCGATGACAGCAGCCATCAATAGAACAACGACGGAGAGAGCGGCTGTGATGGAGCGGGGACCTGGGAAAGTGTCTCCTGGGCCGACGGAGTGGGCCTCAGCCCTGAACCCTACCTCCCCCCCGGACGGAGAGGCGAAAGCCGATCCGGGCATGGGGGGAGAGGGTGGGAATGGGCACCAGGCGCTCAAGGCGGGCACCAGGGGGACATCGGCCCAAAGAAGGAAGAAGAGGCTGAAGGAGAAGGAGAGGATGAGGAGAAGGAGAGCCGAAGCTAGCGGCAGGAAGCAGGAGGGGAGGGGACAAGAACGGGCGTCCAAGGTCAGCTCCACCCCCTGAACGTACTGGTAAGACGTACGCACAGGTAATGAAAGTTGCAGGGAAGGCGGACGGAGGGAAAAGCGGCCGACAGCTGGCAGTGAACGCCACCCAATCCTCCAGACAACCCCGGGCCGCACCCTCAGAGTCTAAAGGGCAAGAAGAGGGATGGACCGTAGTGAGGAGCACGAGGGATAAAAAGAAGCAGAAGAAAGAGGAGAAAAAGGGGAAAACCCCCAAGCCCCCTCTTCCTCAGCCTGTCAAGGCCAGGAGAAAGGAGGCAGTGCTACCGCAGCCGCCAAGATCAGCGGCTGTCACTATCACCTGCTCCAAAGACTCATATAAAGAGTTTATGGTTGAGGCCAGGCGCCGGATAAAGCCCACAGATGTCGGCATACTGGGTGCCCTAAAAATTAGGACGGCCGGTACCGGGGCCCTACTAATCGAGGTGCCTGGCCTCAATGCGGGGCTCTCCGCCGACCGGCTTGCCGAGGAGCTCGGCAAGCTGGCGGCGGAGAAAGGCCCCGGCTACAG